AGATTCTGAAAGGCAGTCAGCTGTTTGAAGTAGAGATCAAAATATAATCAGCATCCTGACACCATTCGATCTTCTAAGAATAAGGGGTTAAAAAATTTAGTATTTTAAAATGTACCTGCAAGAACAGTGATTATCTGTAAATATTAATGCAGTGAGGAAAAAAAGAGGGGAAACAGAAGGAATTTCTTTTGCAAACATTAGCAAAGGTCTTTTTCCCTCATCGCTTTCTTGCTCATAATATTTGCATAAGTGTTTCCATTCTCTTGTCTGACTAAACCCAGCGTTAGTCATTCAGTTACCAGTTCTGCTTCACACATCCACAGATGTGAATCTGAATTTGTAATAAATCTGAAGTGACATTTAAGGATACCTGGTGAACATCTGACTGGTACATTTGAGAGTACTGTGCCCTCCAGTGACACTGGTGGTTTGACAAGTGTCTGAATTTCTCATTTCATTTATCTTTAATCACATGTAGGAGTGGATTTAAAACCTTGATTGGAAAAATGCAGTAATAGGAATAGAAAAAATGTGTAATACTGTGATTCCCTGAGCAGATGAGTTAACAGCTCACAGCTGCTCACAGATCTCACCCCTCCAACTCCCCCTTGTACAGTCCTGTCCTTTTTGTCCTTGTTACAGCACTTACTGGAGAGGATTAAAAACAGCAACAAAAAAATACATGGATGGATTCTCCCTCCCTCCCCCCCCCGTTTGTCTTTTGCCAGGTGACTGAGTTTAAATCATCTCAAAGGGTCCAATGAGTGGAAGGAGATCATGGGAGCGGGACTTCCCCAGTTCATCAGAGAGAAATTGGTAAATAAGCTCCCCACGTTCATGGAATGAGCTTTGACACAACATCCCTTTTCTCAGTGTAGCAGCCCTCTGACTTTGGAAGTTGACTTTCTGGAACAAAAGCACGTTTGCTACCTGCTTGCTGTGGTGCTTTCAAACCCTTGTAGGATGGAAGCTGGCTTACATCACCAAAAGGAAGTTTCAGAAGGCAATGACATAAAGGCAGTAAATGAATTCCACCTTCCAGCTGTAGATGCAAGGTAGAGTTTGTGGCAGTGGCATTAGGAAGAGTAACATTTTGCTGGAAACTGTGTCTTCTCAAAACTGCCCAAAGAGTAAGGAAATAGCTTTATGGCATTATCTTGGTGAATATTCAGAAACAAGGAAAGGAGTAGGACTGCAGGATTAAACCAGGCAAGCTAAAATTCTACCTGCTGACTGTAGATGCTGCAGGGAAATGTTGCTTCCTGCAGGAAAAACATCTGTGTGTGACAGAGCTACCTACTTATTCCCAATGGATCTGTCAGGGAGAGCTGCCTCCTAGTTCAGCTTTTCAGCAGGAAACAGCATCAAAGTCTCACTGAAACTCTTATTTCTGTGTGGCACTCTGACAGCTAACAGAGTTCGTAAGTCTGGAGTGATTAACTTTTTTTCCCTGAGTCAGTATTAAACTGGGTGTCCACATCAAACCTTTATTAAAAATAATTTGAATTTTATAAATATATATGTGGAACTAAATCCTATTTTTTAATTTTATTGAGAATGCACCATTCTGAAATTAACTTTTTACTTTGATTAGGGACAAACCTCCAAAGAATATTTTTACTAGAACTGTTTTATCTTGTTGGTGAGATGCTCAGTATGGTGGGCAAAAAAAAGGAAAAAAGTACTTTTTTCACTTTAAACAGTTGTTTTTCCTTTGACTGTAACACTTTACAGGCTAAATGAAGCAAGGCTGATTTAGTTACGTGGTACATCTGTGAGCTAGTCTTGTATTATCTTTGTGAACCAGACATAATATTCTAAAGTAATACGACTTATTTCACTCAGTTTACATTTCTAAATATACCTGGAGAGAATTAAAAAGAAAAAAAAATAGAAAATATGATGTGTGGAGTTAAGCCAAGAAACTGCAAAATCCCTGAGGTCCATGTACATTGATGTTCAGTAAAACCAGTCTCAGGGAAGGTAGTCAGCCATGTCATCAGTCCTGCCAGCTGACAAACCCACCCTTGTCCTGCCCATTAATGAGGATTTAATTTGCTACAGCTGAGTTCCATTGCTGCAGCTACATTAAAAGTGCTTACAGAGGTAAGCAATACTTTTTTTTCCTTGTTAGATATTTTAAAGGACTTCTCTTGGTTGGCCCTTGAAATTTGTTCTAAGATCATCTGTGCCATTGTGTTAAAAACAACTCAAAATCAAAACAGCCATTTACAAGGGGAGAGGGAGAGTCAAGAACTGCAAGAATTCAGCCCCTTGACAAAGCATGAAGTATCCCATTGACTTCAGGGTCATGGTGCCACTCACTGACTGAATGTGGCAGTTAAGGAGTTAAATAAAAACCTGCATTTAGTGGCACTAAAGTATTAAAAACTACATTGGAAGCTGCATGCCACACTTTCTCGCAGGATCAAGGTGGGGCTGTTCCCTTCCTTCTATTAAGTAGCTGCAGTGAAATCCATGAAACTACTTGTATGTGTGGGAGAACTATACCTCTGATTTTGATTTACTGTTAGACTTGGGGATAATTGGCAACTTCTGCATCATCTAAGGCCAAACACCTTTGGCTTTGAAACCAGAAGCACTCTTACCTTACAGTGCTGGTGTTCTTCCAGCTGCTGGAGAGAAAACCATAGCGAGTGTCACTGATTGCTTGTGAAGAGAGGGCAGAGAGGTTCCCCTCAAGGCTGAGGGGCTGCTGGGGCTGACAGGGACCCCGCTGAAGGGGCTGCTGTGCACACAGCTGGCTGTCCTAGACATGCAAACACAAAGGGGAAACCCAAATTATATTTCTGTCTGCTGTGCTAATATCCTACTGGGAGCTGTCCCATTAACACTAAGGGGAGACACGATGAAGCACTCAAGCTTGGACCTCTCGAGTTTTAGGGTAGGTGCACGTGACAGAGGCCTTTAGACCTGGGCTAATCCACAGATGGCTTTTGGGAAATGCAAGGGATTTGCAACTGGATAAATAATGCTCAGCATTGATCAAGATCCTGTCTTTCCCAAGTCAGAAGTCTACACAAATTACTTCAGGATTGTGACTTAACACGTACAGGTTAATTCTCCAGGAATACAGTGCTCTCCATTTCTCCTGGATTCCAACTGCTTTGCTACTGAATGTATTTCATGCTATTTTTACCTGAGAAAGAAAAAAGATATGGGTAGAGAATTAGGACATTACTTCCTCTTATTTTCTTATTCAGTGGGACTTGCTTTTATTTAACCTGTAAAGGAATATATATGTATCTTTGGAGAACTATATCTTATATATAGAATAATATATAAGAAACTGAACAGCAAGGGGATAAATGCATTGAAAGGATTTGGTATCATAAATTTCATTTGTGATTTGATACCACCAGAATCCTGGGCTGTACTAATTTCCCTACAGTTTCTCTTAATTTTGTATTTTCTATAATACATGGATGGTACTACCAATGCAAACAAGAGCAGATGTTTCCAGATTTTTCTCCAGGTGTCAATTCCCTCTTTCCAGTAATCCCTGGGTTTCCAGTGCTGCTGATACCACCCTCAAAAGCTGTGCCAGGAACTGTCTGGAGCTTTGGGAACTGTTGTTTTCCAGGGAAGAAGATTCCCTGCCTTCTCTGAACTGGTAAAAGATGGTACATGAGTACAGAAAAGGGTCTACCCAAGCATGATCCAGCTCCCTCCGTGTCTGCCATTTAGGTGGATTCACTCCAGCCCATTGAAAACAGAGCAGCTTCAAAGCTCTGACTCCATTACAATGAAGTTTTCCAGGTTTGGAATTGCCTTTGTGATCTGTGTGTGTGCCAAGTTCACAAATCTTTCTAAAGAGTTAGCAAAAAAAGAGCATCACAGAGAGATCAGACTTTTAACTGAGAACAATTCAGTACTGCCAGTACTTGGGTAAATCATCCATGTATTATATAAAGTACGACATGGAAATATAAGTGTAATGCTTGTTATTAAAAGTGCAATTCAATGTACATGGTCACAACAAATGTTTACTTTTTTTAATTGTTACTGAATTGTTTGGATCAGTACCTTGTTATCATTGTGTTAACAATGCCTTGTAAAATAAATGGAAATGGACAACAACATGGGAATAAGGTGCTTATTTTCCTGAGCCATTTGCTTAAGAAACAGATTCAATCTCTTGGCAGGAGTAAGCAGCTGCTGTGTCAGGTTTTGTGATGCAGCTGGTTCTGTTGCACCAGTGACTCAGCAGATGAGCTGTCCAAAACGTGTGTGCTACTCTGCTAATTCCAACCCAACCCTTAGGGAACCTGGTCACAAGGAGCTGTGCCAGAGAGCGAATGGGTCACCCTAGTCCTCTGCTCCAAATGCCAGTCTGAAGTTTCCAGCACAGAGAATGCTTTTCCCAAAGGCTGGGGATACTTACCAACAGCTGATGTTGGTAAGGACTTCCCACTTCCCTGGAGTACAAGTGAGCCATGAGGCAGCATTCCTGCAGGAAGAGACACAGGGGGCAGAAGGGAACGGTGAGACACTGGAAACGAACTCCAGAGAGAGGCACAGCTGAGCAAGAACAGGACCGAGCAGAATGTACCACAGTCAGAAGTATCCAAGCAATTTATAAAACCATTTTTCCACGTGAGCAACTGCTCTGGGATTTCTTTTCTATTACCTGAGATGAACAGCCGTTGTTCCCAGATAGCTGCAAAAGCACACAGCACTTCAGGGGAAGATAAGAAGGCAAAGAGGGAGAAAAGCTGAAGATTAAATTTACCAGGCGTAACATTTTGTATTGATTTACCTCCACGTCACTATCCAAAGTGTTTGTCAGGAGAGGATGCAGCATCCAGATGCTGCTGCAGCTTTGTGCACAGGAGACCTGTGTGGGGCTTGTTTTTACATGACAAGAGTGGTTAACTCTTCCACATGGAAGCTGCCACTCAAAGGGAAGTGCCACGGGTGCTGAAATGCTCCTGATTTAAGGAAACGAAATAAACACTGTTTGTTTGGTTGGTTTTTTGTTTTAAATCTCACGGAAAAAAAGCAAATTGCAGGCTCAAATGCATTTATGGAGTAATGAAAGCATTTTCCTCTTAGAAATTAATGTACAAATTTACCAATTTAAATTGTAAAAATAAGAGCACTTCCTAATATAAGACCAGAGATGAGAGTGGAGAGGCTCAAAGGAAAAAAATATAAGGAAAAAAAACACAGGTTTTTTCCTGTCTCAGTGGCTGTTCAACAGAAAGATCATAAGGAAGCAATTTCTGAATAAGCAACTGCTCTTAACCAATTGAGAAATCATGCCATGGAAGTAAATTCCAGTTGACCATATTATATTTTCTGGATAAAATCAACTATCCTGTCTCCAAATGCTGTTTCTGAAGATGGTCAGGCTTAAGCTCATTCCTGTGAAAATTAAACATAATCACAGTTAATTTTGCAGATCTTTCCCAACTGCAGATCCTGAAGCACTGCAGCAGAGGGTTATAATAAACACCTCACATCTGTTAAAAGTGCTGTGGGGAATGCAGACGAATATCAATCCTTGGCTTCAGGGTTTCTGTGAATTCATCATCAAATTTCTCCATACCTCTGCAAAGTAAATATCCTCACAGATTAATTAATTCCTGAATATTCACTTTAGAAGAGGAAAAAACCCCAAAACCTAAGCCCATTAATCAGCAAATGAGCTGGAATTCCCCAACTTGGTAAAACAGGTGTTCTAACTGGCACCTTTTTTTTACAGAAATTGACTTTTTAAACACGGAAGGGCTGTGTCTTGCCTTGGTTTCCACTGTTTACAAAGGACATCTGGAAGCAAATGCTCCCTCCTCCACATTCCTACTGAGAGAAGGATTGATGTTGCCTTATCTATTTTTGTTTTCGTGGGAGATCTTAATGTCCAGTGGGGACCTGGGGATATAGAAACTTTTTTGTTGGTGCTCACAGCACTGATTTAGTAAGAACTGTGAGAACTGTCTTTTTCTTTCAATGAGGAAAATGCTTAAGGAGGATTTTGGTAGCATTACACCGGTGTATTTTTACACACGTACAGCCACATTTTGTGAATAAAAGCTACATTTCCTTCCAGATGGTTTGATAAGTAAATCTTCTCTTACTCCCAAAGTCACTCCCTGAGAACACACTGTGACATTACAGGTTAGGAAGAACTTCCCAGCAGTAACTGAGACTCTGGTTTTGCTCTAGAAAGCTCACTGTGCATTAGTTTTGGGGTTTTCCCTGAGGCAGTGCGTGTTTGGGGAGCTGTGCCATCTACCCAACTGCTGTTGGTTTGAATTCAGGTTTTTTTATTGATGAAAGCTTAGAACTTGAAAGCTTAAACCGTGTTGGAGTTACCTTGGAGGTCTTTTCCAAACTTAATAGTCTTTTCCGTGAAAATGAGGAGCCAACACAGAACGGGGCACTCGGTTTGTGAGCCTCGTTCCCTTTAAAGGCTGGGAACACAAATTTCTTCCCTTTTCATCATTATTAACTCCACTGCATCAACCTGATATTCTTTACCTGAAGAAGGAAAACAACACGTTGTTTTGCAGAACTATTTGAGGCCTTCACAGCCATGAGCTCTGTGGTGTTTGCCATAAAACCAGTGGGAGAAGTCTGATGACCAAAAGAAAACGTGCTCCCTGCCTGCCACAGGGACCCTCCTCAGCCTCTGGCCCCTCACAGGAGAGTTATATCAAAGTCCTCTTACAAAACAAGGGGTGCTCTCACACAGGAGATACGAGTGACCAGAGCAAGGCAGGCGACAGTTACAGTGAAACTCCCTGAAATCACGACAAAAGGTTTGAAAATGGAAACAAGGCTTCTCATAACCAAGTCATTAGACGTAGATATTCATGCAAACCACTGTATAAGCGTTACTCTTGTTGCCATTTGTTTTTTAAAGAGGCCAGAGATAGCAGCAAGGTCAACCTAGACCACGCCGTTATGTCGCCTTCAGAGGATAAATGGTTTCCTTCCCAGACCCTTACAAATTCAGGAAATTCAGGGCGGCACCGCCCGCCCCTCAGAGCCTCGGGGCGGGGAAAGCTCCTGGTCCCGCTCGCCCCTCAGGGCCCGAGGGCGGGAAGGCTCCATGTCCGGCCCCATGTCCGGCCCCATGTCCCGCCCCATGTCCCGCCCCATGTCCGGCCCCATGTCCCGCCCCATGTCCCGCCCCATGTCCCGCCCCATGTCCCGCCCCATGTCCCGCCCCATGTCCCGCCCCATGTCCCTCCTACCCTCAGCGCCTGGGGGCAGGAAGGCGCCATTAGGGCTCCGTGTCCCTCCTACCCCTCAGCGCCCGGGGGCGGGAAGTCTCCATGTCCCGCCCCATGTCCCTCCTCTCCCTCAGCGCCCGGGAGCGGGAAGGCTCTCTGTCCCGCCTCACGTCCCGCCTCACGTCCCTCCTACCCCTCCGGGCCCGGGGGCGGAAGGCTCTCTGTCCCGCCTCCTGAGGGGCGGAGCGGGAGGTGTCCCGTCACTTCCCGCGGCCGGAAGGTTCCAGAGGTTCCAGCGGGAGCCGCCATGGCCGCGGCGCGGGAGGAGGTGAGGCGGCTCCCGGCGGCTCCGGCCCGGCCGCCCCCGGGCGCTGCGGTCCGTGCCCGTCTGGGAGCGGGGTGGGAGCGGCAGCCCCCGCGGTCGCCAAGGGCTGCGGGGGTCTCCCCCTGCGGCGGGGCGTGCCGGGGGAGCCGTGCCATCCGCCCGGCTCCTGTCGGTTCGGGTTGTTTCTTGAATGATGAAGGGTTAGACATTGAAAGCTTAAAACTTGTTGGAGTTGATGATCTTGGTGGTTTTTTCCCAGCCTTAATAGCTATGTGCTCTAGGGTGGCCCTGCCTGAGCAGGGAGGCTGGGCAAGATGACACGTTGTGGTTCCTTCCGACCTGAGCCGTTCTGCCATTCTGTGAATTAAGATTTGATGGTTCTATATATGTGGTTCTATATGGTTATATATCCACAGGACATATATATGTATATCTCACAGGGGGTGAGGAAGGGATGGCTCTGTGTTTAACGGGGTGTAGCGGGAAACGAAACTAATGACCTGATAAACGTGAAGCTTCTGGAAAACGGGAAACTGTCGCAAAGAGCTCAGCTGTGAGCCCTGAGCACAAAGAACTGTGTCTAATATATATGTGACCTTTTGATTTTGAACCAGCTGCAGAAAGATTTGGAGGAGGTTAAAGAACTGCTCACGAAGGCCACGAGGAAGCGGGTGCGTGATGTCCTGCTGGCAGAGAAACACAAGCTGGAGACAGAAATCAAGAATCAGCCTCCGCCCAAGCCCAAAGATGTGGCAGAGGAAGAAAAGTCATCGCTGGGAGGGTACACGGTGAAAATAAACAATTACGGTAGGATTATTTTTCTGGCATCTCTCTGAAGAGAAGGCAGGGTGGCGTTACTGTGAGTTAGAGTTGCCACTTATCATTATAGCAAAATCTTTTAAAGTGTTTATTTCATACTGGGGATGCCACTTTAAAGGTACCACGTGCTTACCCTGCCATGCCAACCCCAGTGTGTATTTATCCTGTTTGTGTGATGGTGCTGGTGCGATGCATTAAGGATCCCTGGTGTACCAACTGGTGTTTTTCCATTACCTAGTGCTTAGCAGAAGTGAAGGAGTGAGGTTTGGCTTCTCTGCTTGCCATGTAGGTGAGAGGAGAGGGAATTGCTCAAGATGCAGGGAGTAGGGGAAAAAGTGGGTCAAGGAAACTGCAGCAGGAGCAGACAGCTGCCTCCAAGTCCCCCTGCACAGATGGGGTTGCTCTCCTTTCACCTCAGCTGAAGCATGTTTTTTCTCAGAATTTGCAGGAATTAGGGAACAGGGCTAGATGTAAAGACCTCCTTTTGCTCTCAAGTTATTTCTGAATAATTCATGTTTTCCCCTATCCCTCTGAAGATTGTTTCAGTAAGGCAGAGATCGTAGTCATTCTAGGGGATTTTGTGGAGGGAGTTGGAATGGAATGTATGAAGCTTATGGAGGAAAAGTAGAAGTTAATCTCTGTTTTTTCACTTGCAGGTTGGGATCAGTCAGATAAGTTTGTGAAGATTTACATCTCTTTAAATGGAGTCCAGAAGCTTCCAGCTGAGAATGTGCAGGTGAATTTCACAGAGAGGTGAGTTCATCAGGTTGTACCACAACAAGAACCCTGTTGGAAATGCAGGAGTGTTGGGTAAACCCTTACTCCCCACTCCCTTTTTCTTTTTTAAAACTTGAGCTGTATTAGCTCTTAGTAGCACTCAGGACATACTCTTAAGTACAGCTCTCCTTAGAGGGTATCAGGATGTTTTCATTTTGCAAGTGCTTGTTGCACCTCACCAGCCTTGACAGGACATCTAGTGTCAGCCCTGGTTTTTTGATGCTGATAGAACTTAAATATACATTAAAGAAATCTGCCTTTCCAAGGTTGTAGGAGCTCAGTAGAAAGGCCCCTGAAGATCTTGATTTGTTGTGAAGTCAGGATTGGTCCTTTTAATTTCTTAGTGTTAAAATTCAACTGAACATTTGAGAGGCCTGGGAAGAAACTAATCCAAGCCTGTTGACCCGCTTTCCGAAGAAATATACCTGCTTTCCTAAGAAATAGGTCTGCTAAAGGGTTTTCAGACATTGCAATGATTGGAATATTTGTGCCTTTCCTCCCTCCACTTTTTGGTTCCAGGTCATTTGATCTACTGGTGAAGAATCTGAATGGAAAGAACTACACCATGACCTTCAACAACCTCCTGAAGCCCATCTCTGTGGAAGGCAGCTCTAGAAAGGTCTGTTTGAGACACCTTGTCTGTTAAGAGATAATTTAGGTCCCTCACAAAGTATCATGTTCATTGCCTGACTATTTCAGGAGACTCAGTCCTAACCTTCAGTCTCTCCCTTCTGCTGTAAAGTCTCTGCACTGTGAATGTGATTCTTATTAATCTGTGATTGTCATAACTGTGGAATTAGCCTCTGGAATCCTATTTCAAAAGATTGTGTCTGGATATACTATGCTTTTTTTTTTTTAATAGCTCTCCAACAGGATTTCAGAAATAATTAAGCAGAAAATTCCACCAAGCATCCATTTGCATCTTTGTGCTTTTAAATACCTCTGAGAAATTCTCTGCACTTTTGAGGTCTAAGAGATTTGTCTGCAGAACGAAATCTTGGGAAGCCTAAAGAGGCTTAATTCCCAAAGCAAAGTCTGAGACGTGCTCTGCCTTGGTAAGGGTGTATTGCTCCAGAACTGAAGACTGGTGGTGTGGTTTAACCCCCACTGGGGTTAATTTTCCAAGGGAAAAATTCACTCTATCCCAGCTGAAACCAAAACATTAATAACATTTTACTGCTGCTGACTGCAACTGGTGATATCCACGCTCTGCTACTTGTAGCACCTTTCCAGGCTTAGGGAGGTGTTGCATACCCCCTGTGTGTTCTATGCTGCACAATGTGAAGAAATGATGGTTCATTTTGAAATTGCCCTAAAACTAGGATAGAGTGAAATTGAAACAGCTGAAATAAATGAAGGTGATGCTCTGGTGATTTTTTAATATGGGCTGAAAGTGAGCAGTGGTCATGTACTTGCTAAGCAGCAGCAGACTCTTGTCTGCTGTGGCAAGTGGGAGTTCTTTGTGAAATTTAGGTCAGGGTTGCAATTAAACAGGCTTTGTTTGTAACTTGCAAACATGCTGGAGGATTAAGCAATACCCTAAAACTAGTTTCTTATCCTTGGAGAGAGAAATTGGAAGAGCCTCTACCTGAACTTGGTGTGCTTGGAGAAGTCCAGTAGGAAGTCCAGACCCTCTACCAGGCAGCCCTGGGTACCTGAGCATCCTGAGAATCACTGAACGGTGTTTATGCAGCACTTAATGTTCTTCTGTATTGGTACTGTAGTTCTGTACTAGAATTCTAATTATCACACCATTTAAATTGTTCACAGTGAGGTTAATACTTCGTGCCTTAAAGCTGAGCACGTGCTATAATTTTTGTAGGCTACATAATAATGAGTAACTGAGAGAAACGTTTCAGGAATTTGTCTGTGCAGAAGAGGTTTATGTTATAAGCTAATCTTATTCATTGTAACCAGGATCCCTTCATGTAGCATTCTAAACTCATGCCTTGGTGTTCACCATACAGATAAAGACAGACACGGTCCTTGTGATGTGTAAGAAGAAGCGGGAGGAAAAATGGGATTGTCTCACTCAAGTGGAAAAAGAAAGCAAAGAGAAAGAGTAAGTGTCCTTTCAACCCTCCATCTTGTTTTCCATTTCTTGTTCTCCACGTTCCCTTAGGACTGCTGGGAGAGGTCTGTACTGTACTGACTGCAGCCAGAGTCTGAATCACTGGGCTGGGGGACAGGCCCAAAGATGTTTGAGGTTTTTTGGGGATTTTTTTTGGTGCTTGTAGGACTGGCAGTAGAGGAGATAAGCTTTCAGTAGCTGTTTGGCACTCTTCTACTGTTTCATTGCTCATGATGAAGGCTGCATCATGGGAAATACAAGAGATAAAGACCTGCAGTGAGATTGCTAAAGGGAATCAACCAATTAAGGATTCATTTGCACTTTGGCTGCATTCATTGCAGAAGCTGCTCTAGTGAGGTGACTTTTTCAGGTAGGTATATTGTATAGAAATACTTAGATATATTCCCTGCAGCTCTGCTGGTCAAAATAATTATTGTCACCTCTGTGTGAAGTGCCTGCACAAAAGTCCTAGCCTGCTTTTGGCCAAACAGGTCTTTATTTACTTAGATGATTATCCAAAGTCCCAAGCCAACTTGTATCACTCGAAGTGCTTTGGAGCAGCAGGCAGCTTAGACATATATAGGCATATGACAGCAAGTAAATGACAGCAGGAAACACCTGGGGACAAGAAACTTTCATATATATGTATAAATGTATATCATATAATGATTTTATATACAAATGCACCTCCCAGCTTCTGAGCACTGGGGTCTGCACAGCTGGTGCTTAGCCCAGGGCGTGGGGAACTTGCTCCCTGTGCTGATCTGTTGTGCTCTGCCATGTTTTGCAGCTAGACTGCACAAGGAGCTACCTAGAGGATTTTGGAAAACGGGATAGAGGCAGTTTTGCCAGAGAGGGCATTATGTATAGTTGGGTGGTAGGGGCCATGTCCTGCCCAGGTAGTGACTG